ATATAACATGTACAAGTTCTGATGCTTATAAAGCACATTTAGATGGAAGTAAACATGAAAAAGTAAGAATTTTAATTAACTTTATAATTGTTTTTTTTTTGTTTCTATTTTTATTTTAATAGGCAATGAAATTACATCGTAAATTAGGTAAAACAATACCATCAACAGAACCACAAATATTAAATAATGTATCAACATCATCTCAAATAGATGTGAACTCACAAACGACAATAACTGAATCTCAAACATTAAAAAATGATGAGCAAAAAATATCTTTATCACATTTATTTGAAAATAATATTAAACCAATTGGTGAAGAATACATTGAAACAACATATGATAATGCAAATAAACCAATACTTTATCATTGTAAATTATGTGAATGCAAATTTAATGATATTAAAGGAAAAGATATGCATTTAAAAGGAAAACGTCATCGACTTGCTTATAAAGTAAATTTATTAAAAACAAAAAGAGAAAAAAATTAATAAATTAAAATAATTCGTCGTTTTTTTGTTTTGTAGAAAAAAGTAAATCCAAATTTTGTCGTTGATAATAATACAAATAATAAATTAACAAGTTCAAAACAAAAACAAATTAATAATCATCAATCCAGTGATAATCATTCTAATGTAGAATATATAAATACTCAACAAAAGATGAATAGTAATAATCAAATAGATATTGATGATGATACAAGATGTTTAATGATGTTACATCAACAAATTATACCAACACCTAATTTAGTAAGATATTTCTTATTTATATATATGAAATCCGCTTTGAAAATTTTTTATCATAAGAATTTCATTGATTTTATATAATTTTAAAGTGAATAGTTCAAGGTAATTAACCTATGGTGCGAAAGTCTTAGCATAAAATATTCACTTATTTTTCGAACAATTAAAGACAACTGATTAGAGTTAGAAAACCTTCCATTGTAAGGGTAGGATTGGATAATTATCATCAGATTGTTTCAAAAGGTTCAAAATAATGGTTGCAAGAAGACTACTTTTGGTTAATTTTATAGAACAAAATTTATTCTACGAAGTGTACTATGTACTTTTATATTTTTAAAAGTAGTTTTTTGAAACAATGATTTTTTTTTACTAATATCGATTTCCATAGAAACTAGCTCTTTAGTGAAAATGCATGGATGAGATTTCGCTTATTGTGAAATATCTTATTTTGTATAGAATGCGGTACTCTACAACAATGTTGAGTTGAAGTTGTTCTAAAACACAAATTAAGCACTGCATCAATAGAGATACTTTATTTTGCACAGATACAGTTTTGAACTTTTTCATAAAATTATTTGATAATTGTTCAATCTTAATATAGAAGAAAAATTTAAATATGTATTCGGAAATAGCAAAAAATTCTGACTCTGGCTCTAATCAGTTGTCTTTTCGTAGCCGACAAATGAGCGAATATTTTGTGCCAAAACTTTCGCGATATAGGTTATGATGATGCAAAAAGTAATAGTAAAAAATATCGATCCCTATTACTCGCTGATAGAAGAGTAATGAAAGAAAACTTTCTCTACCCAAATCTCTTTCGAATCGTATATAATTAATTTTTATCACATGTTTATAAACGAAACGATGCAGCAGAAAGCAGAAGCATTCTTTAAAAAAATCCACACTTTTTGTGACATGTAGAGAAAACGACATAAAATGGCTATCCTCGTATCTCTTCGATAAAAAAATTCTGAAACGAATATTTTTTTTTCTATCAATCGATACGAAGTTTTCTCTAGACCGAGATCCGAAAACTAAAATTACCGGGACCGGGACCAAAAGAAATATATAATAATACATGAATTATTTTTTGTTTTATTCTTTAAATTTTTTCATATTTTAGCTTAACATTATCGAACAGTTTGTTAATGCTGTTGAATCAGCTTTAAAATCTTGTTCAGAACGACTTCAAACATTTAATACATTGTCAACCGATGATAATTCTTCTACATCCGAAACAAATGCGTAAATTTGAATTCTTTTTCTTCCGTGAAAAAAAAGAATAAAACCTTTCTTTTTTTTTAATTTAATTATTCTTTTAGTAATCAATCACCATTAATGGGTGTATTTCGTATTGGTTTATTTGGAAAAAGTTTAATAATTAAAACCGATCGTTTATTTCATATAGTTGTTATTTGTGCAGAATGGCCAACAAAAACACTTTTTCAAACAATTGCAGCAATATTATCTGATAATCTTGATGTAAAAACAAAAAATTTTCTTTTTCATAATCATAATATAAATTTCCAAAAAATAAAATAAAATAGGATACATGGAAAAATAAAATTCAAATTCAATGTCAAATCGATAAAGAAACTATAGAATTACAAACAAATACAGAAGAAGGAATAATGTGTATTTCAATAGCATTTACTTCATTTTCTATTCAACAACAAGATAAATCCGAAAGTAAAAATTTTGTTGTTGTTTTTTTAAATAAAATTTTAAAAAATTTAATTATCTTTAGATAAATCTGATGAAGTTTTATCGAAAATAAATTGTTTAAATGCATTAAATTCAATTCATTCAACTCGATGGTTTCAAGTAAAAATAAAATTTTTTTATTATTTATAAATAAAAATTGAGGTTTTTTTTTATGAATTTATTAGAATCAAGTTAGTATTCGACAACATGCATCAGCATTAGTACGTTGTTTACGTTATAAAACAAAAGTTTCAACCAATTGGAAATCATTATCATCTGAAGTATAATTAATTATTCTTCTTTTTACTTTTCTTGAATAAGAATTTTTTAAATATTTTGTATAGGCTATTGAAATTCTTATTGACTATACTTTATCACAATCATTATCAGCTGTGAATGCATTTCGACGTGTTCTAGAATATCTTTCTGGTGGTTTAGTATTATCAAGTTAGTTTTAATTCGATTATTTTTTTTTTCAATAATAATGATTTATTTTGATATATTTAGATGGTCCCGGTTTACGCATGCCTTGGCACACAGATTTAATGAAAGATGTCTTAGAGAATCTAACAAATCAAGAAAGAAATGATATAACTCAGGAAGCTCAAGTAAATAAAACAAATAGAATGAGTTTGCTATTGCAATTTTAATAGAGTTCTTGTTTTGAGAAATGATAAAAGATGTGCTACTTCCTTTAAATTAGTGTATATATAGGAGTGTATAAAAGCTGATGCGATACCGTTCTCTGATACTATATCATGCGAGCTCCATTTTACTGCTTTATTAGGCTGTGTTGTGTTGTGTTGTTGATACCTTAAGCGGAAGAATATGTAGCCTAATGATTAGTTTCGCTCTATATACAGATTAACTGATAGTTATAACACGGAACCGATATAAGATAATGTTAAGTTTTATGTATGTTCGGAAGTCTTTTTTTTTTATTAAGATTTTAATTCAACTTTAGAAGTGATTGAGAAAATTCTATTGAATGGAGTAGGTGGCTTCAAGAAGAAGTGCAGAAGAATTCTCGTGATTTCGGACTAAACATCGTCACAAAAAAAGCTAGGAGCAATATTTTCAAGTGTATAGAAAGAAAAAATATGTCAATAGATGTATGAAATTACATTTGTTCAATTCGTTGCATCAATCAACCATGTTCATTATAGAATTGGTCACTCATACAGTAACCTTATTTGTCTAATATTTCCAGTATTTCTAATATGTAGAATAGACTCTGTATGCATATGTCGCTATATAATAATTATGCATCTCTCAATATATCTACTTGAGGCACAGGTATCCCGATCGGAGAGAAAAGAATCGAAGGGATGCTCCTCCAATCTTGAAAAATTTTCGTTTTTCTTCACGATCAATTTTAGCAAAACTCTTCCAACCGTCCGCCTAAGTCATCGACTCTGTTCTCCAATCCTAACAGTCTCAGAATATCCTTGACATGAGATAATATGGGAAACATGATAGATATAAGAACTATTGAAAAGGTCATAAATAATTATATCTGTATATCTCTTTCATCAATAATATCTCATTATCTTCTATATCTCTTATAACAAGACTTAATTGAATTTCCAGGCAATCTATAGAAGATATTATATGTTATATACTTTTATATATCTTCGAGAAAATGTTTTCTTCAAAATAAAAACTCTATTAGAGCTGTATAATTGTATTTATTGAAGAAATATGTTGTTTTTTATTTTTAGTATCCTTTGCTTTTTTTTAGATAGGTTTACGTTTAATGTCGTTTGGACAATTAACAAAATGGCTTGAACAATCAAATATTCATCAATTAATGGTCTCACTATCAAAACGTTCGTTACCTGATTGTGATGATCAAAGTAATTATTAAATTTTTATTGAAAAAAAAATTTATTCTATTTTTATTTAGTTCGAGTAAAACGACAATGTACGGAATTGGAATAAGAGAAGAGAAAAAAAAACTTTTTTTTTTTTGTTTTTGTTTGTTATGATTAAAATTCTAATAGAAAATTGTTATTATTGGTGATATATACAGTTCAACATTATATATATATATGTTCTTTACACCTAAACTAACTAAATAAAATAAGAAAATTCATCTGAAATAAAATTTATTATATTTCAAAAAGGAAAATAAAATATTTTCATTGTTTGACAATTTTGAAGTTCACAATATTCATAATATAATGGATATTTATTTGTTTTAGAAAGAAAAAGATTGATTTTTTTAATTTAAAAAAAAAACAAAAGATTTATTTTGTAGTTGAAGAGTTTTGTTTTGTTTTTAACTTACGGTATGAAAATTTTCTTGGATAGTAAAATGAAATATATCAAGTTGTCCTTTTTGAAATGGTTTTAGAATTATTTATTGAATAAATTAGTGGAATTTCAAACGCATATCATTTTGTATTAATTAATTCAATAAAAAATAGGTTCATTTATTTTATCGAATTGTAATTTTTTTTTACTAAGTTTTACTCGAAATTCATAATCAATTAGAGTATTCGATTTAATTGATTTTAATTTTGTTTTTATATCAATCGAATTTATATTATAGTTTTATAGATGAGAAGATTTATTAATTTTGTTTGAATAATTTAATGGTAAATTTAATTGATTTGAAGAAAGATTTGAACTTGTTTCTAACCAATCTTGAATTGTTTCTTGATTATAATCTAAATACAAATAGAAAAAACGAATTCAACATCGAATGTCTTTTCCAAAGGATATTGCAGTAGTTGCTTTTGTAGACTTAATAAAACGTTATATACTAAAGTCAGTATATTTTCAGACTAAGATCATCTTATAAATCATAAAGTAAAAAACAAATCTCTCTTATGTGACTGTCAGATGGTACGAACGAGTTTTTTAAAAACTATAATTTTTTGCTTTGAGTGACATTTCTTAGCATAACATCAACCTATCTGATGAAACCGTTCGATAATCTTTTAAACGACCTACTGAATTATTGCGACATCATAAAGAAAGTGTCCTTTGGAACGGACATTCAGTCATAACGGCATAAAATATTCTATCAACCCATGCATAATGAAAGGACTATTTGAAGCACTATGGGGAAGGGGGGGGGGGGGTGAGTTCTTGGTTTTCTTGAGTCCTTCTAAGGACGGACGCACATCTTCTCAATCTTCAACATTTTCCAATAACTCGAGAATTTCGTTCCACGAATGGTGCATTTACTGATTTTACTCCAGTTCTAAATATTTCACGATTGTTCTAGTTCTACTCCGGGAGAGAATTCAGCAGCTAATTCCACGATGAGCCGAGATCACTAGCGAAATTATGAGAAGATTCTTTTGTTCTTTATACTATTGATTTTTCGGCAGTTGATTGAACTCATAGAATAGTGTTAAAAAATTGCAAATATTGTGTTCAATTGGTTCTTAGTATAATATGAATTAAATAAATAGAATTATTTGTAGGAGAAAAAATGTCCTCACATAAATTAAGAAACGTCTCAATGAGATCAGCAAAAACCTAAAACAGTTCATCCCCATAGACTTTTGACGCTGAGTTAGGACCCGGTTTACTGGATTTTCGATTCATTTGTAGGTTGTCCCCGTTGTTCTCAAAGAATTCAATGACAAAGTTTCGATCTAAAATTTTGTCTATAGATAGCTTTAATGTCTCTCAGAATATCCTAAAAGTTTCACTCGAAAAAAAAATCTTCTTTCGTCAAGATATTGAATTTGCAAAAATAGTCCTTTGTCACAGACATGTTACAAAACATCAAGTTCACTTGAAAATTCAATAAATCGACAAAGGAACATTCTGTTCGGCTGAAACTTTTAATATATTCTAAGAGTCATTAGGCATATCTATAGACAAAATTTTGAATCAAAGCTCCGTTATTCGGTCTTTCAGGAAGTACCTAAAGATGGGTCAAAAATCCAGTAAATCAATCACAACTCGGCGCTAAAGTCCTATGGAGATAAACTGTTTAATGCTTTTTCTAGTCCTACTGAAGCCTATCCAGGGATTCAATATGAGTTCAAACGGCAGATATTAGTTGGGATAGTTACCTCGTGAGGGTCCAGAATCTCTATTTTTAGCGATTTATCTTTTCTCCTCGACAGAAAAACCATCATCCGCTTTTAAGGGTTAAAGTTTATTTAGAAAATGAAATATATACTGTATTCACTAGTCGATGGTGTTAATTCATTGAGAATACTGTTTGCAGATGATTCCGATTCTTCATAAACTGTACTCATATGATCTATTGTAAGTAGTTTAATAGGTAAATTAGAATTAGTCGGAGTTATAACTGATTGTTTGTTAGATATTGTTGGATATTTAATAATATCAAATATTTCATTAGGTAAATTATGATTTTGTTTTCTTGTTGAAATTAATAGATTATCAGTAATAGTTGTAGATGTATTTAATGAAGATTTGAAAGCATATTGTGATAATATATGATTATCTTTTGAAGATAATTCAATAGTATTTGGTCGAGATTTAATTTCTTGTGTTAAAGATTCATTAGTATATAAATCATATTGTTTGGATATCGTATCTTGATTTGTTTGTATTGTTTCATTAGTATTATTTGATGTGTTAAAGTCAATATCTAATGGAATATTATCAGATTTTGATTTATTCGAAGCAGAAGAATGTGAAATATCTTGAATATCACTAATAAAGAAAATAAACATTTAGTTAGCTGATTTTGAATTTGATGAAAAAGAAACTTGTTATCTTTTGAAAGAATATCTTCGTTTAATTTGTTCATAGTTGATAGATCAGAAGTAATTATTGATGGTTGAGAAATAAACTTTTGTTTATTTAGTATATTTTCAGATATTCTTGATATATTTCTTTGATGATTTTTACACGATTTTTTTGCTTTATTAGGTGATAATAATGATTTTGTTTGCAATGAATGTTCATTTCCATGATTATCAATTGATCTTTGAATTGAATTTTCATCTGAATGAGATTTTGTTGCAATTGTATGAATAGTTACACTAGAAGATTAGTCTTATTTTTTTTGAGAGAATTATGAAAAACAAATCATCTTACGCATTAACATCATGAGTATTTGTTTTCAAATTGTATTCATTAAAATTTGGATCACTAGTTAATTGTGATTGTTTGAAATGATTTTGTTTTGTTGTTTGATTTGATGTTGAAAGTTTACTTAATTGGTTGGAGAGACTTTGAATATGAGTTGAATTTCTCGTAGGATTTGATGTCAATTCAGAGAAATATGATTCAGTAATTAATGGATTTGATGTATGTAAAATCTGATTGAAATGAGATGATGATGAAGAAGAAATATTTGATGATTTTTTATTAAAAACTTGATTAATTCGATTTGATAATATCTGAGATGGTGAAACACTTCGACTTCGTCTTTGTGAAATATTATTTTGAATTCGTGAATAAACTGGAACACTTTTTGATAGAATTGATACTGAATGATTTGATAACGGATTTGATGTTGTAACTTTTTGATGAGTTTTTTTAGGAGTAGATCTTATTGATTGTGTTTCTATGTTTTGTTTATTTATTAAAATCGGATTACTATTATCAATTCGTGATCGATTTGTTACTGTATTCATGCTAATAATATTGGATTCGAGTGAGATTTTATTATGAGATCCAGTTTTTTGTAATAAAATATCGAAAGTATTTGATGATATAATTGATGTTTTTGATTGTTTAAAGTTAGTTGTACTTGCCTTAGTAGAATTACTTTGTTCAGATGTATTTGATGGAGTTAGACTTTCAATAAGCTTTAACATTTTTTCTGGATTATTAGTAGAATTTTTTCGTTTTATTCTTGACATTTGTTTCTGATCTTCTGTCCCAGCTTGTTTTGAACTTGATGAAAATGATGATCGATGAAATTTATTTTTTTTATTTGATCTATCGTTGATTTCATATTGTTTTGTAATTGATGCAAAATAACTGAAAAAAGAACTAATTAAGTATTTATTTGTAGAGTATACAGAGCAAAATGAGTCAAAACTGGCCATGACCATCTTTCATTTAATTGTAATTCTTGTCGAGAGTTATTTTTTCGTAAAGTTCTTTAACCAAGAATATATATATACATCAAAGTTGGTTCCTTCAGCTCACACTTCATCAAAATCAATTGGCACACAGTTCTCTAACTTTATGACAGAAAAGATTGTCGCAACTTTGGTTGAAAATAAAAATGTCGAATACTGAAGTGAAGAGTTCTGAATGTTTTCTCGTTCAGAACATTCAAAAACCGAGCAGCTAATTTTAAATCAAATGTTTATTACTGAAAAAGAAAGAATGAAAGAATATTTTGAAATATTAGTTTATCGATCTTAAATGATTTTCTTATTATACAATTATAACTTTTTTTTTATTTTGCTACGATAAAAGACAAACCGTTGAAGAGATCAGATGTTGTAATGAGATAATTATTATATCAATTATACAATATGTTTATTCGACTTTGTGATTCTGCTTTCATAAAATTGATCCAAACCCATATAATTGGATGATTTCGATAAATACGAGAATTTATTCTATTATGATAACCTGCAATTAGGATATGTAAGTGTGTCTTCTCTTCAACCACACACCTCGCCTCATAAGTCGATATTGATCGTGGAATAATAACATCTTCAAAAACAGTCTTTCTCTGAGAATTTCGCTTTTTGTTTTCATGAAGTTTTTTCGACATTTTTACTTTCACCCAAAGTTGAGTTTACCAATGGAAAAATTCAACAATTGCAGGATGGATTTTACACCACAAACTACATACATATTGGAAATTTCGGCAAGATCGGACTCAGAAAAAAGATGCCTCCCAAAAACTCATTCTGAAAAGGTCTTCTCATTTTTCGAATAAAACTTTTTGTTTGCTGTCATGTCAAGATCTTCCAGAAGGATTGTATACCATTTGGAATTAGTTTTTCGATTTCTCACTCTGTTAAAAAAGGGTTTTCTCTGTCTATATTCGTAATCATTAACGTAGCTAACCACAAATAAAATCAATTTTATCTAAAAATTTATAAATGTTCAGAAAAAACTTTGATTAGAGATTCTTTAGCCTCAATAGTCATCTACAGAATAGATCATTTAGTTTTCGAAAATATTGTTTCAATTCGCGACTTTTTTAGCTGCAATGCATGTAGTGATCATCGATGTGTTTTTTGGGTTATATCTCTAACGCTGATTTTGTCAAGATATTTCGAGTAATTTAATATACGTATGATATATAAAAGTTAGCTCTAGGAAAGTTCATTATCCAGAGAAATATGCATTTTAATTTTATGAAGCCACATCACTAATGAATGAAATCTTTTGTATTTTTAGATTTACTTTTCATAACTGTAACGATTATTATTTAATTTTTTATTGATTGACAATTGTTGTACATTTAAATTTTTATTTCCTTTTTTTTTGCTTTGATTTTTGTCGAATATATTTGAATTTGATCGAATTTTGACATCCATCATTTTTGTTTGTAATTCATTTAAATATTGTTGAGTATTTGATGATAATTTTGATAGTGATAAACGATGAGGTATCTTATTTTTCTTTGTTGTTTGTGGTTGTTTTACTGAACGTAATGAACTTTTATTTGGTAGTAAATTTTCACGTGAATTCATATTTTTATCTTTCGATAATTGATGATTAAATTTTTGATTTTCATCATCTAAGAATAAAATACTCATATGATACAAATCGAACAAAAACCATAGGTAGACTGTTTGATATAATGTGGGTTCTACCGAGAATCAACCAGTGGTAGTTTGATACTTAGTTGGTAAACTGTCTGCTGATCGTCAATCTACTGCGATATACCTGGAGATGCACCAATTCCTAGAACATGATGTCAAATATAATATTTTTCTCCTTATTCAAAATGTAGTTACTGTGGATTGTTTATATTAATCACGATCAGGTTTTTTTGCTGTATTCGAAGCTGTAGTCAAAATTCATGAAATACAAAACAACGATTTCAGAATCGGTCGAAAGTTCGTATTTTTTAGTTTTTTTTTAATCATTTCCAACTGGTTTTGAAACCTATGCTATGCATTAGACAAAACATAAGGATAGTTTCAGAAAGAGCGTTCAAAACTGATCACAACTGGTTTGAGGAATCGCTAGGAGCCCAATAATTCTCAATACTGGAGATATTCTAAATTTCGATTAGAAATCTAAGGAATTGATTTATCCCTAGTTTCAACAACGCATGTCTAGTATTGAGAATTACTGGACTTCTAGCGATTCTTCATGTCAATTGTGTTCAGTTTTGGACGTACTTTCCGAAACTATTCTTATGTTTTGTCTAATGTAAACCACACATCTCGAAATCAGTTGGAAATGATCGAAAAAAAAAACTAAAAACTGCGAATTTTCGACCAATTCTGGAACCTTTGTTTTGTATTCCATGAATTTCGAATGTAGCTTTAGATAGAGTAAAAAATTGATTATGCCTGACATAAACAATTCATGGGAACTACATTCTTAATAAGAAAAATAATATTATCTTGGATATTATATTCTAGGAATTAGTGTACCCATAGCTATAACGGTGGTTAGAACTCGTCGGATTGGTCTCGGATTCGTTCAAGTCCGAATTCAGAAATGTTGGATCCGATGGGCTCTATCCGTAGTAATGAGAACAAACGGGGAACATGGATATATTTTTTTTTCTTTTCGTTTTTGGGTAAATAAATTCATAACTAACGATGTCTATTTTTAAGAATATTTGTTTGTGGAGTTTGTCTATTACTAATTAATTGCATTGGTTTAGTTTTATTTCGATATTCTTGAATTGTTTCAATTGATTGACGATATGAATTTGATTCATATGATGATGATATTGTTTGCTGATTAATAATTTTTTTTTTATTTTTAGTTTTAACACGATCACCTGGACGAATTTGTCTACTTGAATTATATGTTAATTTTTCTGAAAATGAATTTGTTTCTTGAATAAGATTTTGAGAATTTAACGACGGATTTGTATGATCTAGTACGAAAGAATCTTCTTCATCATTTTCAGAGAGGATATTTTCAGGTAATTTTTCATATGGTGATATCATTGATTGATTAGTAGAAGTTGTTATTGTTGATGGAACTGTTCCTTGTGATTGTGTTATCTCACGCATATTAATATCGGAAGAAAATTGTATTGATTTTATTAATTGATTTTTATCCGAATTTAGGAAATCATCTTCAGTATATCTGATGCTAAAGAAAGTAAATAAATGAAGAAAAAAAATTGTTTTATATTGATTGATCAAACTGATAGATTTTATTGCTTTTTGGATGAAATATTTCAATAAATTCTGGTTGATAGAAATAATCTTTATTTAATTTTGATCCAATTAATGAAAGTTTGATATTTTTTAACTAAAGAATAAAAAAATAAATTTGTTTTTTTCCTGATGTTTATTAACGAGAAAGCTTAAAACTTTTCCAAGATCTTTTATTGAATCGATAGTAAATGTATGAATTTGATTATTATCAATTTCATTAAGTATTATGATTTCTGATTGTTCATATTCATCAATTAATTCAATTTGAAGTTTAATATCTTGATCAAGAAATTCTTTATTTATTGTTTTTATATTTATTTTATAAGAATTTTTTTCTGAATTATTTTTTGAAGATTCATTCATATGATGAATCTATTTTCGATAATAAGAATTTATTATTAATAAAAGAAAAAAAAAAGATAATTAACTTACAAAATTACTTGAATATTCATTTAAATGAATTATTAATTCATTATTTATATTACTTAATTTTTTATTTATATTAGCTTTATAATTTTTTTTTGAATTTTCTTCAATAATTTCAAATGTTGTTATTGACCACTAGAAAATTGAAAAATAAATAAGAATAACTTTTCTTTTTAATCTACTTCAGTTTTGATTTTTCCATCAATAGAAAGAGTTGCTGATTTTAACTATAAAAGAAAATTAATAAAGATTTTATTTGAATTTTGTTTTGGTTTTTTTTAAATACATTTCCAATATCAGGTATATTTAAAGAAAATGTATCGTAATTATCTTTTTCAAATAAGTTCTTTGAATTTGTTTCGGATTTATGAAGATCAATCTTTTCTGATATGCCCTTATCTCCATATAATTGTAATTGAACTTTAGAATCTGTATCCATTAAACTTGAATCACCGGTTTTTATTGAAACTGTAAAATTATTATCTAAAGAAAAAATTTTCTTTTTTCTTATTTAGTTTTATAAATTGAAAACTATTACTTGTTGATGGTTTAGCTCCTTGCAGCATATCCATTGTTAATTGATCTGTAAAATAAATTTGTCAGACTTCATTTTAGTTCATATATGAATTTCCTACCAAAATTTTTCTTAGCTGACATTGTACTTGGAATATTAGGTAACGAAAGTCGATTATGACTCGTTTTTGTTGATGTGGGATTTTTCATAACTACGATAAAAAATAGAAAATTATAAGTTTTTAGTATAGAAATGATTTACATCGTGAAATTGGTTCAGCTTTTGCAATCATTTTTGGGTTTTTTGAATCGAGCATACGATTAATATTAAACCTAATAAATGAATAAAATAATGAGTAATCGATAAACAATAGGAGACTTAGGTTATTTTTGTTGTGGAAGAATACGGATACTGTTCAAAGATGCAATTTTAATCTTAGTCGATAGAGAATTTTATGTTATAGATTTTCAAGATGTTTTTAAGACTCTTCATACTATCATGCAGATTCAAAAGGCGTAGGACTAACGCCTGGCTGCATTTTTCATTGAATGCGCTTTCGAGACTCATGTTTTCAAATGTCAATAATTCCCTATGCACGACTTATTAGTAAGACATTAAATGAAGGATTTAATCCTGAACGACATGATGTAACAATTGAATCCAAAAACGAAAATCTTTCGATTGTTATGAATTCAAAACAAAGAAGAGCATAAAACTGCTAGAAAAGGATCTTTTGTATTATTTTTCAATTTTTGTTTGAAAAATGATTCTGTCAAACATTTTCTAAACACTCTGAGGTGTACGATGTCATGGGAATACCTTGCAGCCTATTTCAAAGTTCGGTAGAACTGTTATTAAAAATATTTTTCATAACTATTTTGTTTTTTGATAGTTGCAGTTGAATAACTAAATGACTTTTGTCGATATAAAAAATTCATTTGAAAAAAACAAAGTCAAATATTGTATAGAGTGAAAAATTCTCTATCAAAATAAGATTTAAATAAGCCTGTATCAATTTCTAGAACGTAATGTCAAAGATGATCTTTTTTCTACATTAAAAATGTATCTTCTTATCGATTGTTTATACCAGCTCTGGTCAGTTTTTTATGCTCGATCCAATATTATAGTCGAAAATCATCAAATAGAAAACAAAGATTTTGGAATTGGTCAAAAATTCGTATTTTCTAGGTTTTTTTACGATCTGTGCCAACTAATCTGGAGATGTGTACTTTGGATCAGATAAAACCTAAGAATAGGTTCAAACAAAACGTTCAAAACTGATAGGAAGACTCGCTAGAAGTCGGACAATTCTCATTATTCGAAATATTCTAATTTTCAATCAGAAATTCAAGGGACTAATTTAACTCTGCTCAAAAAACACATATGCTTAATATTGAGAATTACCAGACTCCTAGCGATCCTTCATACCACTTTTGAGCGTTCTGTTTGAACCTATTCTTAGGTTTTATCCAGTTCAAAACACAAGTCTCAAAGTCAGGTGGAATTGGTCAAAAAAAAAACTAAAAACTATTTTGCAACCTTTGTTTTCTATTCCATGGATCCCGATAACATCTTCCGATAGAACAAAGAAAAACAACTGATTAGGACTAATGTAAACAATCGATAGGGAGGTGTGTGCTTAAGAAGGGAACAACAGGGTCATCTTTGACATTATGTTCTAGAAATTGGTGCGTCCTTACCTTCTAGTAACATTTTTGAACTATATTTCTTGCCTTAATAAAAAGAAAGAAAATCAAAGTGACCCCATTTTAATGAGCTACCCGGTTATGTTTTTCTTATTTTCTCATATTTTTACCTATAAGAATCATTAGTTTTTAAATCATTGATTTCAATATAATCAAGTCCAAGTTTATGAATATTTGGATGTGTTATATCAATTTCAATTGATTGTAATTCACCTAATGATTTTATATTTTCAATATAATATTCATCTTTATGTCCAGGTTGAAATGTATTATACATTGTGATTGGATTATTTAATTCAATTTCATGTTTGCCTTTATTTCCTTGAATAAGTAATTTTATTGTTCGATCAGGTCCTTTTAATTCACTTGTTATTGTTCGAGCATAAATTATATAATCGGCTTTTCGCTCTAAAAATTTTATTTTTACAATTGAGTTCTGTTTTTTCAGAAAAAAAGAAAAACAAACCATTAATCGGTTGCACAGTTAAATTATTTGTTCCATCTTCTGTATTAACCCATTTATAGATTGGAAAAATATAATCCTAGAGAATTAAAAAAAAATTAGAATTCAATTATTACAAAGATAATTAAATAGAATCAAGTGAAAATTAACTTGTCCTTGTGTAATATCTCGTATAATAATTGTTTCAATAAACCATTTATCAATTTCACCATTTGGTAATAATTGTAAAGATTTGATTGGACCAACATAATATTTTGATGAAAGTAGAAATTCATCTGTTTGATTTTCTTGAAATAATATTCTTTTATTATCTAATGATTTTAATGTATATGGTTCAGATTTTCCTTTGTCACCTTTTAATATTATATTAATTGATGGTAATGTTGACATATTTGATAAACCTTTTTCACCAGTTTTAAGTTTTATTAAATAACCAGGTTTTTCTTTTTCTAAAAATAAATCAAAATGATTTTGATTTTTAAACACAAGAAGATTAACCGTATCCTTTTTCTCTACAGAATAATAGCCCACTGAGCTTCTAATTTGTTTCGCAAGTGAAAAGTTTGGAAGTAAGCTTTTATTGCGATCAAATTGTTTTGGGTTGTAGCTATGATTTGATTCGCTTACAAGTATAGAAATGCACAAGATCCGATAAATTGAAGCTTTCAAACTATCTGAGAAATTTGATCGTTACCAGCGAACCAAAAATTGGCTTCTCTACTTTTCCAGTTCCGTGTTATCAGATAACTTGAATGATGCGTTCATTATACTACTTTTCTCATTCATAACATTTATCTATTATCAGCATTTCGTAGATTTTAATATAGACATATTAAATTGCGCTTATTATGATACTTTGGTTTGAGAAGGTGTCGAACTTTGGAGAAGTTGAGAGAAAACTTTTATACGGCTCTGCTAAGCAACATCATCTTAGAAGCTTATGCACAATTCAGACACACAAGGAGATATATGTCAATTATCTTAAAAGAAATATAGAAAAAATTGTTTACTCTCAAATGAGAGCTTCTCATTTTTATGAAATGGGTAGTTCATATCTTCTGATTATTTCAATAATCAACTTTGTGAGATGTCTTATTTTTCGTTAGAGATTTGTTCATATTTCTATGAACTTAATAAAAATTTATATCGTTCTATTTCTAGACTGATTATAATTCCAAAGCGGAATAGTATTAAAGTATGCATATTTTCTATTCGTCAGTTTTTGAACAGCTATCTTTCACTAATGTCCATGTGTACACATTTTTCGACTCACAAAAAACAACTCGTTTGTTCGTTAATAGAAGGCACGTAGAACAAACGAAATGAGGTGTACCAATAAAGTTACAACTAAATAGCGATGAACTCATCTATTCGATGATTTGCATTGTTATTTTGTGCTCATTCGGATACATTGGGCTTCTATTCTGTTGGTGTGGAAGGGAGCATTAATAGATCATTACATGATTGATTCTTACATACCTTTATCTGTATCTGTCTGATCTAAAAGTATAGGAATACTAAATTTTAGAAATTAAATTTAAAAAATAAATAAGTAAATAAATTTTTACTCATATTTTCTGGATAGACAGTTAAATGTCTTATTAAATTTCGATTATCTGGATTTGAACCATCAAATAATTGATTAATTATAAATCTACAAAAAAAATAAAATAAAATACAATCAAATGACACTCTTTTTTGTTGTTGTTGTTGTTTTATACTTATATTGATTTTCTGTTTGATCATCTTGAACAATTATATATTCACAAAACCATAATGGTTGCGTACCTTCAGATTGAATAAGTAATTGCAAAGAATTTATTTTTGCTAAATATGGCCAAATAAAATAAAATGTATCTAATTGATCAGGTTCAAATACAGAATTTTTAAAAGCTGAATTTGCACTAGATAAATTATCTTTAGTAAAAAATAACAAAATTTTATTATTAATTTTTTATTTATAAGAATCAAAAAAATGCTCACCAGCAAAATTTCCATTTTCACCTTTTACTTGTATAAATATTGATGAATCTGTAACTTTATTTGGTTGTTTTCCTGTTTTAACTTGAATTTTATATGTTGCAAAACCAATTTTTTTATATGGTTTTATTTGTTTAAAAGGTTTTGATGGTAAATGATTAACAGGACCAATATCACGTTGAATAATAAAATGAGTTTTTTTTTTCATTTGAATATTTATCAAATAAACGATTTAAAGGAAAACGATAAATATTTGCAGCATCATCAATAATTTCAATCCAATCAACTTTCCATGATGAATATTGACTATCATGCCAAATTTCAATAGCATATATATCACCTAAATAATTTAATTCAATATTAAATAAATCAATTTGTCCTGATTGCCATTTATTTTTATTATTTGATCCTGTAAGTATTATATCTGATGTTTTATTATATGTACCATATAATTTTATTTTTACATTTGTATCATTTGATAATGATGAATTTATTTCATTATTTGTTTTTATTTTTATTATATAAGTTAATTTAGTTGGAATATTTAATAAATCATTATTTATTTCTTTATCAATATTTTCATTTATTTCATCTATATTATCATCAATGGAAATTTTTTCAGATAATTTACGTGCACAATAAAGAATAAGATTCATTCGATCAAGTATATCATTTGTAACTGATGAAAATAAAATTGTTTCTTTTACTTTTGGTTCATATTGCATTTGACACATTAATAAATCAATATCACCTTCAAATTGATTAATATATGTTAATAATTCTTGTAAATGTCTTTTATCTTGATTTGATTTAGAATCAAGAAATATTTTATTTATTTCACGTATAGCTTGTTTTAATTTATTATGAGATGTTGTCGTTTCAACTGATAAAATAGATCGATATTCAGGACGATTAAAACGTTCAGCACGAAGCTATCAATAAGAAAATATTTCAGTTAGACTTAATATATATGTTTTGATATATAGTGTGATTTGAAATGAATTTAATTTAGGACATCACTAAGAATAGTATAATCAAGAAATTTTGTAAAACCGCTTTCGGATAGTGAGACGTATTCAGATTCCGTAAGTTTTGAACTCATGGAACTTTCAGAAATGCAACGTCACTCACAGAACTCAATCAATTTCAACAACTGAAGCAACCCTAAGAACTCAACAAATTGTTGAAATTTAGGTAACAGTTCAACTGAAGCGTTTCAAACGAAATTGATATCATCATACTTTGCTTACACACAAATTTTAAATAATTACAGTGGTATCGTACATCCAAAAATTCGAAATATCAAAAATACTACAAAAGGTAGTAAATATACAGTACAATCTTCTCCATGGATATTCAAATATGGGTGTGACTATTCGTGTAGAGAGACAATCAAAACTGAGACCTGCAGCCACATCCTTCCGAGAGTTTTGTGAGTGAAGTTGCACTGTTGAGAGTTTCATCAGGCAGAACGCTTGAAATCCAATCATTGTTGCCAAATCTATCAATGTTGATATATGAAAATCGAGTGTTTAGAATTTTTTTTCATAATCATTAATCGTTTTTCATCAATCGATGCTCATGAAAAAACGATAGCGAGAAAAAATAAACTTGTTTTCTATCTTAAACTTGGTTTTATTTTATTATAAAAACCATCGCCTCATATTTGAACTTAGAGAGCAACTGTTTCAATTAATCATTCACTTTATTTAACGAAAACTATTGAAATATAGGTTATCGAGCGTGTTGATCTTGAATATAAATATGAGCAATCTCACTAGGTCTTCATATATTTGGTTTTTTAGAAAACTGATTTTTCAGGCTAACAAAATCTGCTCTTAAAGTTCTAGATTATAGAGCATATCAAATCCCGTAGACAATTGTCTCTATTTCAGTTCCAAATCTTTCTTGTTTTGAAGAAAATACAGACATTTCAATTCATATAACAGATACATGCTAAATTTCAATGTGGAAATCCTCAAGATGGTAGAACCATCCTTAAAGCTCATTTTAAGGAAATAGAAAAGATTATTGTTCTATAGACAACTCGATATAGTTCTATAATCTGAGTAGATCAAAAAAATTTTTTTGACAAATGTTTGTTAATCTAGAACCTACAATCTAGTAGTTTTGAGGGAAGAAAGCGATGAATCAATTGTTACTATTTCCTTGTTAATCTATCTAAAAAGTCTTCATTTTTTTATCTTATCATTCCTTTTTATTTCAAATAGATAAAAATATTCTACAGGATACCTCATAAATATTTCGTTTAGCTCTTCGACAAGCTCGTTCAAGAGCTTGTTGATGTAATCGAAGATCATAATCAATATTAAATGTTAAACAACAATCACGTTGTTTTTGTTTCATATCATTTATTTCTTTTGCATATGGTAATAATAATTGATTAGGTTTTATTTTATTAGTATCTTTATTTCCAATATGATTTGTTGAATATTGATCAATACTATCTGTGGTATTATTATTTAGTATTTGAGATGTATCATCACTAGTTACATAACCTAATTCACGTAATTTTACAAGACCTTTTATTTTACGTTGTTCTTCGTCTTTAAGTTGTTGTTCAATATGATATTGTTCACGTAATTTATTTTGTTGACGTAAATAATCTCGTTGACGTCGATCTTTATTATCCGTTTTAAAATCTCGTTGAATACGCATAATTTTTATTGCTAATATAGTAAAATCTGTTAATGATAAACCTGCATCAATTAAGCTTCTTAAAAGTTTATCTGCTTTTGTTGTAATCATTAATTTATTAGTTTTTTATTATCTTCGAAATATAGAAAAAAATAAAGAAAATAATAATGAATAGAAGTAAAAATATTGTCTCGTAATAAATGCGCGTTTTTTTTTTTCTTTTAAAGCCCAGATTTTCGTTGTTTTACTATTAATTTATCTTCAATTAGTTGGTGATAAAATGTTGTTGTACATATAGATCAAAGAAATATGATATTTCATTAGAAAAGTAAAAAAACGACTTTTTCATCTCATTTTATTGATCATAACTAAATATTTAGATTATTTGATTGATTGAATACATAGTATTTTGATCGTAGTTTTTTTATTTATTTCTTAACTATGATATTTCGAAACTTCTAAATAGATTAAATGGCTTTGACATTAATATAAATACTTCTTTATGTTAAACAAAATAGATAAAAGACATCGATTT